CCCACTGGGTGAACGTGGTGTCGGCACAGCCGCACCAGCAACTTGGACAGGTCACGCCGCTTTTGCCTCCACGTTTGCACGTCCTTGGTCCAGCAAAGATGTCCGCCTCTACCACCTCTTCTTCCGCCATGTCCTCAGCCGCCACCCCCGTGCCAAGTCCCATTACCCGACCGGCATATCACATGTGCAGGGCGCAACGGTGTCACGCTGTGCTGCACTGGTATGCCTTGGCGAACGTAGTCACACAGGGGAGGAACTTCTGAGTGTAATGAACAGAGAAATCGACAGATGGCTGTCTCCGCGCAAACTGAAAATCGGAACCATGTTGACCGACAACGGAAAGAACATGGTGTCTGCTCTGCGTCAAGGAAGGTTGTGCCATGTGCCATGCATGGCTCACGTGTTCAATCTGGTTGTCAAGCGGTTCCTAAAATCCACCATCCCACTGCAAGACATCCTTAAAATGTCACGTAAACTTTGCATGCATTTCAGCCATTCCTACACCGCAAAGCACACCCTCCTTCAGCTGCAGCGGCAGAACGGAATTCCACAGCATCGCCTGATCTGCGACGTTGCAACAAGGTGGAATTCAACCCTACATATGTTAGACCGCCTTTACGAACAGCAAAAGGCCATCACCGATTTCCTGATGTTACAAGCGGATAAAGGTACTCCCCTGTGTAACTTAGATGTCAGCCATTGGCAGCTCATGCGTGACACCTGCCGCTTGCTCAGGCCCTTTGAGGAGGCCACGCTATTCATGAGTCGGCAGGACTATGGGATGAACGACGTCATTCCTCTGTTGCACGTCCTGGAACAAATGCTGTTAACAATGGCTGGTCAGGGTTGCGGTAGACGTGGCGCACAGATCTCAACGCCACATGACCCCTGTGGGGGCAGGACAGGAAGAAGAGGAGGAGGTAGAGGAGGACATTGGTGCTCAGGAATTATTGAGTGAAATGGGTGGTTTTTCCACTCAGCGGACAGGAGTGGAGGAGCAGGAGCATCTGGTAGAGGAGGAGGAGGAGGAGACAGAGGACCCAGACGCACCGTGGCAGTATGCTGTGGAGATGGAGGCAGGGAAGTCCCTCGCATTCCTTGGCACAAATGGCCCATAGCATGCTCGGTTGCTTGCGTAGCGACAGTCCCGAATAATAACCATCAGACAGAGGGATGACTTTTGGCTCTCCACCTTGTTGGACCCTCGCTATGCTGTGGAGATGGAGGCAGGGAGTCCCTCGCATTCCTTGGCACAAATGGCCCACAATGTCTCCTCACACTGCTGGTGGGTTCCATTTTGTCATAGGGTGCTGTATGGCCTCCCTGCTGCTGCCTCCACCGCCACACTGTGGCTCCACACTCTGGTTTTGGCCCCGTGACTGCCCAAATGAGTGAAGTGTGCGGTGATTCTAAGATCGACGGCACTCATCTGCATGTCATACTGACTGACAGTATTATTTCTCTTCCCCAGCAGACTCCAAGGGCATTTAATTAAAGGTACAGTGTTCTGCACTAATATAAAGGCTCTCTGAAGCCTAAAAACACCCTTTTTATAAGTTAAATTCGCAGCGAATATATTCGGTTCGAAGCGAATTTATTCCGCGAATTCGGCGAATCAGCCGAACCGAATTTTTGAATAATTTGCTCATCTCTAATGACCATTCTTTTGTCACCCTGATCATTTGGACCTATAGCACCCATTCCTTTTTATTATGGATGTCTTTCCTCAGAAAAGAAAGACACTTTCATGCATTAATCAAATGTGGCATGAGAGATACCTTGTATTTACCCACAGAAGTAGGGGTAACAATAAATAGAATTACCAGGGGGTAATAAGTGATCAGTAGTTGCATTATCCTGTCAAAATGATTTATGCTCAATTGTAATGTTGCTTGACCTGACATCCTATGCAGGTGAAAGGTAAACTTTTTAATCTGCACAAGAATAAAATAATACTGTTATATTTTTTTTTTTTCAGTGAAGCTTCTGAAAATTTTTAATAAGCTTTTTACATGATAGCGACTGCATCCAGTGTTCATACACTTAAAAAGATGGCTGAGGGAGCAGTGGTTGAGGGAATATGTCAAAACTGATGTAGCACCCATCTAGTTAGGTTGCTAGGTCAGTTTAGTTTTTTTCTCCACTGTAGTGAGTGGAGTGGTTGTTGATCAGTTGGGTCTGATCATGATTTCTGAGCTGAGAGTTTGCTTGCTTCACCCTGCCTCTGGAAGAAGCTTTCAGAGAATAGGGAGGGAGATTCAAATGATCAGCTAAATAATTATCATGCCATGGCCAGTACCTAGAAGTGGGTATGCAGAAGGTGGCTAAGGAGGTGAAAAATGTGCAGGAAGTCTAAGCAGATTATATTTTCCTTGTCAGGGAGGGTTCCAGTTTCCTGGGGGAGGCTACCTGTCCAGGAGATAGCCAGAGTGGCACGTACCTGATGGGAGACTGAAATTGTGTCACTAGCCCTGATCCCGCTGGAGTTGGAACAGAGGGAGTCTAGGGACCAGGGGAACAAGAGTGCCAGTAGTTGTTGTTTGCAGCTCTTGCAGATGATGACCTTGGAAGGCTGATGATCCTCTGATTTTGGCACAGTAGTAGTAGGCAAAGCAGGTTTTGTAGATTGTCAAGCGTGCAGAGCAAGGCAGGTAGTGAGGACAAGAGACAGGAGTAGTGTCATAGAATAGCCAGGGTCATCAACAGCCAGGCAGCACGGTACAGAATCAGAAGGAAAAACCAAGGTCAGGATCAGAGCCGAAGTCATGAACCAGTATCAGGAGAGCAATCAGAGTCAGGTGAGGAACAAGCCGGGTCAGCAACAAAGGAATCACACAGGAGCAAGCGGGACACGGGGGAGCTGAAGACCAGTCAGCACTGAACATGAGCAGAGGCACTCCTTAAATAGGCCGTCTGGCACCAATCGTTGCCATGCATGCCATGGCATGTGCGATCGCACATTCCGCCGTGCATGCGGGAATTCCTATGCGCATTTCTGATCACAATTCTTCTTGCCGGAAATCCCTGACAGAGAGAGACAAGAATTTGCTGCTTAGGCCTCAGTGATTGTTGGGCTGGGGCCTGAGAATTGCCAAAGAAGTACCTTTGCTGAAGGGCACTGTCTGAGTCCTTGACTAAAGGATGGATCCTTATTTCCTTCACAGAGGATTTACCTGAGGATTCTGGATGGTGGACAGCTCCTGGGACACTGTGAGTAAAGACTTCACTGGGACTGATGGATGGGCAGATGCCAGAGGGCAACCAGTTGCCAAAAGTTGCTTTATGGACTGCTGTTGGGAGGGCAGTCGACATCCTAGCCATACCCTGCTACCCCCAAAAAAGCTGCTGTTGGGAAGATTAGGGAAGTTCATCCGAGTGTGATTACTGATCATTCTGGAGTATCCCGTGGCTAAAACCTTCTCATGTTAACGCTCAGTAATAAACCCTAAAAAGACCTCATCTATATTGAGTCTTAATTGACAGTGTGTGTGGGACTGTGCTTGGGTAATCTGCAGCCATTGTAATATTCAGGAAAACCTGTCCATATTCAGAGGCCCTTTCAGGGGTGAGCACTACACTATTGAAGTTTTTAGGGCTTGTAGTGTAGTATGCCAAATTCCTTTACTGGTTATCCTTCATTAAGAGCATTCCCTATGAATTTAAAAGTTCTAAAGTCCAATATCATGACAACATTTTATTATTGTCTCTACAGTTACATTAGTAACTTTGTGTCATCATAATTTGTTGTTGCTATTTTGCAGGTGTATTCTGTGTGTTAAAATGTCACCTGGTACTGTATGTTCAATAAACAAGCAGTTTAATCCAGTCTAGGCTTAATGAACACAAAAAATGTGATTTGTATCAGTTCATCAATGTCTAAAGATGAGTATTTGATCTTTTGTCAGAAATAGTCTAAAAAAGACAAAGACATGCATTCTGAATGATCAATATCTTTTCAGTTGCTAGACATTTTCAAGAGAACAACCAAATCTCTGACCTTAGTTAGTTAACATTTGAAAAAATACACTGAGAAATAAGACTTGAAGGCACAGCTGTTTAGATGTAAACTATAAATATATAACTTTTCTTACTGGGATTGCATAAAGGCATCACTTTTTTACCATATGATGCATGAACCATTTACTGGATGTTGAATCTTCTCAAAGCCCGTCTTTGGACTGTTGTTAAATTAACCCATGCAACGAGGACCTCCTCCCCCAATGCATGGGTTAAATATTAATTTGGCTAGAAGGGAAATGAAATAAGAAGAAATATCTACCTTATTTTTGTTCCCCTGAAAGCTGGCTGTCTCCTGCATTGTAGGACTCTCTGAATTTGGGTGAGCCCTCACTGACCTTCTGTGGTCCTACATTGTATGTGATTATCAAAGAGCTGCAACCAGCCAGATAGTGAAGTGAAATACGATTAAAATTTTGCTTATTCCTCTCTACTCTACCCAAATGGCCAGTTGACCCATGTATTGTGGGGTTAGGGTCTCCATTGCAAGGGAATATTCAATATTCAATAACACTAATACTCTCCAGTAAACATGCCTCCAATATCATATGTCACAGCATTAAATTACTTGTAATACATTTCTTTTTGATCCTAACCACTTGCCTACATGGCATTTATACCCCCTTCCTGCCCAGGCCAATTTTCAGCTTTCAGTGCTGTCGTACTTTGAATGACAATTGCGCGGTCATGCAACACTGTACCCATATGACATTTTTATAATTTTTTGAGACAGATAGAGCTTTCTTTTGGTGGTATTTAATCACCTCTTGGTTTTTTATTTTTTGCTTAACAAACAAAAAACTGAATATTTTGGAAAAAAAAAAAAGTTTTCTTAGTTTGTTATAAAATTTTGTAAATAAGTGATGGGCACTGATGAGGAGGCACTGGTAGGTGGCACTGATGGGCATTGACAGGCATCACTGATGGGCACTAAAAGGCAGCACTCATATATGGCACTGATATGTAGCACTGATAGGGGGCACTGATAGGCAACACTGATGCGCACTGATAGGTGGCACTGACTTGTACTGATAGGCGGCACTGACTGGCACTGATAGGTGGCACTGATTGGTAGCACTGATAGGCGGCACTGGCTGACATTGATAGGTGGCACTGACATGTGGCACTGAAAGGCAGCTCAAATAGGCACTGATATGTGGCATTGATGTGCACTGGTAGGCACTGATATGTGGCATTTATGTGCACTTGTAGGCACTGAAATGTGGCATTGATGTGGCACTAGCAGGTGGTATTGATGGGCACTGACAGGTGGCATTGATGGACACTGACAGGTGGCACTGATGGGGCTACACTGATCATTGGGGCACACTGATCATCAGTGCCCTGATGCTCAGTGTACATGTCCCTCTGAGTAATGCCGATTACCGACTCTCCTCTTCTCATGAGCTGTCAGCGTGACAGCTGGTGAGGAGAGAAATGCCGACATTTCCTTATTTACATGTGATTAGCTGTGATTGGACACAGCTGATCACATGACAGAGCTGACAGAACAAGAGAACCGCCTTGCACCCATCATTTCCTTATATGGCAGGCTGGAGGTGGTTAAAGGGACTCTTCATCATCATGACCAACTACCATTAACGTGGGCTCCCTCTACCACACTGATGGATTTGCTCTTTGTAGGATTCTTTACAGTGGTAGAATGATAATGTAAAACATAAACTTCTAAAAGCTACGTACCTACAAAAAATGAAAAAAGTAGAAAAGTAGCATATAATAATTCTGTGATTGTAGACCAGATAGACACACAAGCCCTTGTTTTTATTAGCAGTAATTTACTTGTAGCAGAATGTATCAGGGGCGGACAGACAACTCATGGGGCCCTGGGCAATAGGGGATCATGGGGCCCCTGTGTCCTTGCCCAAACTCAAAAAAGCCTATGAAAAAGGTACCAGGGGCATCTCATGGGGCCCCCTAGTGATTCCGGGCCCTCGGGCAGTGCCCGAGCTTCCAAATGGTCAGTCCGCCTCTGGAATGTATAAGTACTGCTACATGAGTGGGGAATATATGTTTAGTCCATCTGAAACAAACAGTCTCTGGGCATTCAAGTATCCAGATCCATTAGGAATTATCAAGGTCTGTGTAGATGGGTATTCCTTCACTTCATAATTTCATTACAATTCTATGATTCAAGTGGAATGACAGAAAAACAGCCAGAATATTGATAAATTTGTCCAGTTATTCTGACAATTTAGATAGCCAGGTCATTTAATCATCAAGCTGGAACTATCTCCTGCTGGGGCATTGAACCCTTCTGGTGTCATTTTTGCACTAGACAATACATGAGAATTCTGTTTGTATCATACTAGCACAACACTGATGCAAGACTGTCCTTTTGCCACCAGCTTATTTACACACCTAAGCAATATTGAGCCAATTGCAAACCTTTGTACCTACTTGGTGCAAGGACTGATTCACACCAGATGTAGTCCAGTGTGTTTTAGTCTTCATCAAAAAGACATGCATAGGAATGTATTTACTAAAACAAGAGCATGCAAAATCTGGAGAAGCTGTGCACAGAAACCAATCAGCTTCCAGGTTTTATTGCCAAAGCTTAATTGAACAAGCTGAAGTTAGAAGTATATTGGCTACCATGCACATGTGCACCAGATTCTGAGTGCAAAAGTTTTAGTAAACCCACCCTACAGTGTTTTCCATTTTTTCCAATGGCCCTAGTTCCAACCAGTGCAGGGCATTCCAGTACACTCAACAAAAGTAGAACATACTGCATTTTTTCTGAATGGAACACATCTGGAATTCAGCAAAATTCATTAAAAATACACCAGAATGCAATGGAATGTACAGTATAAAAATTCACCAGAATACACATGTCCTGAATTAAGATGAAGAAAAAAAAAGTGGAAAACAAATGCACCAAGGTGCATCAAAAGTGCACCAAAAATGCTCTGGAATGCATCAAAATCATGCATGCAGAAACACATCTGAAATGCAGAAATTGTGTGTGCTCAGTATGCTGTATTCACAGTGAATCAGCCTGAGTGGCATACAGCACATTTCTCTTGTTTATAATGATAGAACTTTTAATCCTCATAAAACTATGTCATCATTTATTTTAAACATTTGATGTTCTATTTTTAGTGGTGTAAAAAAGGAAAGTAAATATGTTTCCAAATGTGCAAGCTATATTAAATGTGACTGCTTTCAAAAAAAAAGAAAAGAAAAGAGGAGCTAATGGCTATATTTTTATGTTTCTCTTTTTCTGCATTTTGTGTTTTGTTGGAAGAGAAAAAAAAAACTCATTTCATTAAAAAACCCCACAATAGCCTTTTCTGCTTTGTCTGCTGCCTTGTACAGATGTTTATATCAAATACTTTTATAAGGGAATTGCATTGCTGTCTCTTTCAGCAGGTGAGAGGGTCCTTTCTTAACAGCAATCCTCCTACTTCTGTATGTGTTTTTGGATCCTAACAAGTTTGAACTTCTGAGTAAGTGGACTGCTTATTAAAAGTGCCATGCTGGAAACGTTACATTTGTTAATTTATCCACAGGCCAGACATAACGTAGGCATCTACACAACTTTGTCAGATAAACTTTTCAGATCAGCCTGCATTGTGTGTTATTGGGACATGTAGTTAAACTAACATTTATTTGAAATGTCAGTATCTCTTGAAAGATAATGCAGTTGGAAAGCTCCTTTCATTTTAATACAAGGTTAGACTCAGTTTACTTACAGATAAGCATTTGAAAGTAATACATTTTTTTTCCCGTGGCATTGTATTTTATTTACATGGTAAAACTGGGCACTTTGAAAAAAAAAAAAATGCACTTTCATTTTCAATAGACATGATCTGTGGTGTTTGACAGCTCTAGATATCTGTGTGACTGCTGCTTTTACTATTCAAAGATACTGAAATGCAGCCATAGACAGAAGTCGATAAGGGTGATGTTCATGATCGGGCTTTTCTTTCCAAAGCATGGGGATGTCATTGTGCAAAAGTAATCCAGGGAAACAAATCTATTACGGGCAAACTGAACTCTAAAAGATATACCCAAAAAAAGGCATGGAGGGGGCAAAATACTAGTACCCAATATTATATGAAGCTGATCTTTCCCCCGTGCCTTGGTTTGCACTATGTTTGTGAAGCAGCCATCTTGGTAGAGGCACAGTCCTTTGCTTCCTTGTGTCAGATCTTCAAGCAAGAAAAACGGAGAGCAGCACAGTAGTGGCATCACCAGATCTCACCATAGCAGTCAGTGGCAGTGGTACTTTGGATCTCATACTGCACATGTTCTATAGAGATAGGAGTGCCTAGGCACACTAGCATACCAAGAAGTGCTATTTTTCAGGAGGAATTCATACAAAGGTACATTTTAAGATTGCATTTCTAGATTTTCCCTATAACATAGAACATTTGTCACTTTTTGAGGTCAGGTACACTTTAATGTCACATTAACTGCGGTTAAAAAAAAAAGGATACCTAGTATGTATTGCTAATTCAACTACCTACTATTGCTCTCTTCCAACGCCAAATCTCCACATTTCATTACATTTGTTCTCCATGGCTCCTCTGTATGTAAGGATGTAGCCACCCTTTCTTGTGTGCTGCTAAGATGGACTAAGGACTATAGACTATGGGATTTGTAGTGTGGAAATAGCAGTGAACTTGACTGCAACTACTGTGCACTGCTTTTCCCTAACATACGTAAGGGAGATAGAATGGACAAGGTTTCAGAGTTTAAGGGACTGAAACTGCTTACTTTGATTTGACTGCACACTGGGAGCTTGTCACAGTGTGCATTAATCCCTTGGCGCTGGCGCCTCCCGGCCCTTTAAGGGTTTCAGAAGCCGGGAGGCAAGCAGGGTTTTAGGGGACATGTGACCACCGTGTCACATGATCGGGAAAGGTCCTGATCACAAAAGGAAATTGGGACCTTTACATGAGTACAGAACATGTGTGCTGGGAGCGCACAGGGGCGCGCGCTCTCAGCACATATGTTTCTTTTAATAGGATGCAAATTTGCGGCTGCTCGACGTCTAGGCCCAGATGCCAGGAGGCCGCACATTTGTGTTTGGCCGGCGCCAAGAGTTTAAAATCAGAATCATTTTAGATATTGCCCATATTGTCCAGAATCATCTAGCCCTTTTATCCTTTTGGACTGTTTCTGGCCAACCCCCTTCATTCATTGGATTCTTTAAATGCAGCCTGGCTAGAAATACCCACTCCAGACTGACATCCACCCATCAAGGTATTTCGATATTTCCATAACTCTTCCTAAGAGCCAGCCCATTACTTGCATCAAGACTAAGGGGTTTATTTGAAAAAAGGCAAATAATCTGTGCACCACAAGTGCACTCCAAGTGAACTTGGAAGCGCACTGCAAGTGCACTGAAAGTGAAGTTGCTCTAGATCTGAGGTGAACAAGCAAGGAAAAAAACAGCATTTTTGCTTGCACATGATTGGATGATAGAAATCAGCAGAGCTTCCCTTCATTTCAGAGCTTCCCCTCAGACGTAGAGCAACTGCACTTTCAGGGCACAGCATATTTGCCTATAGTAAATAAGCCTCCCTGGCTCTTGAAGTAGATATCCAGCCTTCACCTAACTAGCCCTTAAAATGCCCCCCCCCTCAACAGCTATGCTGACCACCCTGTGTAAAAAAGAAGAACAGTAGAAGAAGATGAAAGAAAGAGCGCACAAACCTTGCGCATTACCTCAATAAATAGTGACTAATTTTATTAATAAGGAAATATACTCACAAAGTGATGGTATAACAGGCATAAGTAACCATAATCCAAACAGGGTTACAGGTAAATCCAAAATGGGGGGAATGAAGGCTAACGTGTTTCGAAGGGTGCTCCCTTCTTCATCAGAGCTGGGTTGAGCAGATAGGGACTTCAGTATGGCAGAGTTCCCATGGCAAGGAGACATTCAGCCACTGAGTGTCAGTATTACAGTATTATAGTATTAATGCACAAACCTTGCGCATTACCTCAATAAATAGTGACTAATTTTATTATTAAGGAAATATACTGACAAAGTGATGGTATAACAGGCATAAGTAACCATAATCCACACAGGGTTACAGGTAAATCCAAAAGGGGGGGAATGAAGGCTAACGCGTTTCGAAGGGTGCTCCCTTCTTCATCAAAGCTGGGTTGAGCAGATAGGGACTTCAGTATGGCAGAGTTCCCATGGCAAGGAGACATTCAGCCACTGAGTGTCAGTATTACAGCAGTTCAGCCTGTTTAAGAGTAGTTAGGTTGACAATGGAATTCATCTTTAGGAATATTAACAAGGAAGGGTGCTGTGATGTTTTCAAGAAGCTATGTAAAACCCCCCGGCTGATCCCTCTTATCAGGGTGCCGTGAAGAGGCTCTGCAGCTTATGCATGTGTTTGCAAATGTGTGCTAACTAAACCCCTGTTTTTAATACATACTGTTAGGCTCATACAGTTTGTTTGGAAGCTGGTTGGTAAGTTGAGCTGGAAATCTCTCTTTTATTTTTGA